CCCCCTCCAAATCTCTCACCCTGCTCAATTTCCCATTCTGTCCTGAGATAATCAATTATAATTGTTTTTTTTCGTATTGTTGTGCTGATTAAATTGTAACACCAAAATTTTTTGTCTATAACTATCCGTTTACAACTCGCAAAGTTAAGCAATATCTTATGTAAGTTGAAGAGATATGTTTATTATTTCAAAACAGTTGCCAGTTCTTGGTGAATTGATTGTGGTAAATAATATTATACAATATTGGTTTTGTATAATACGGTAAAGGAATCGACAAAAGTTGGAAACGATACCTGAAATCGGAGGAAACATAATTTTGGTTACAGATCTGACAAAATATACTTTAAGTTGAGAAAAATTCTGCCCCAAAGTATTTAGGGTACATAATATTTGCGGTTGTCTCGAGCTTTTTTGTTGGCCTTTGTCGAGGTGTACAGTATAGATCTAGATCTAACTATAAGAAGAGTAGTTAGAGAGTCGAGGATTATATTATAATAAGTGCGTTTTGTTTTGTTTTTGCATTTGGTGTTGATAATGTTGCTGTTCAGGATTTGCTTCCCTATAGTTCCATAAAATTATGTGCCCATACATTAATTGTATAGAAATACGGAGCGTTGTACGACAACCCTTAGCCTTAGCCTTTAGAGATTATATTTTTAATTATAATCATATTTTTTTTTGGGAAATGGTTATAAGCCCTCAGAAGGAAAATGTTGTGCTTTACTTAATGTGCTGCAAAAAACTCTATATTAAAAAAATGTATGTCGAAATAACCTTCATCACGGCAAACACAGACCTGTTACAATAAGTGTAATGAGCACTCCAAGAAACGCTGTCAAAGGGATATAACCAAGAATAAAAATACTCTTTATAGTTAAATCCTATTTATTTCCCCTTCGTTTACTAAAACTTCAAGATAATTTTTGTCGTCGTGTAAATTTTCGACAACCCAAAGACAGAAATTTGTGAGTGATTGTCATACGGTCTATTGGTCACTTTCGCCTCAAGAAAACATGATTACTCTTGTGTAATTTTCTAAACGTTCGGGGTAGGATGGGTGGTGTCTCTGCATGTACGTGTATACTAATACGTGCATGCGGGTGCGTGTGTGTGTGTGTGTGTGTGTGTGTTTTGTGTATGCGTGTTTGTTTGTTTGTTTTTTCCAATAAATACAAACACATTGAAACTCTAATAGCCATTTCGTTCTGGGAGACCATCAATGATTTATTTATAGAGGCACCAGCCATCCATATCCAGGTGCTGTTTTAGCGCGTTCTGGGAGACAAACAGAAGCAACAGGGTGGGAAGGAAAGAGGACCTACGAGTGGTACCCTCCAACCTCCAACCACCCGCTGTGTGTGTGTTGGGGGGGGGATGTGTGTGTGTGTGG